ACTGTCGGTATTCAGTTTACGGTACATTAACTCAGAAATAACCTTGTTTTGGCCACCAGCCTTGACCACCACAGTGACAATAACAACAACACTGACAGGCAGGAAAGGACCCCACCAAACACTCGCTACCACAAATGCCTAAAATGGAATCTTAATGTAATTTGTTTTACTGTGGTTGAGGTTTTGTAAGGTCTGTTTAGTGAGATATTAAAGAGCAGTAGCGCGTGATGGTTGTTGTCTCATGTAGCGAGGTACCAGAGATAAGCGGGTGATGGAGGACGTATCATATGTAAAAAATTGTTAGTTATCTGATGAAGGGAAAGAGATCGATGCCTCATACAGATGTACGTGAGATATAACAACTGTTAAGTCCAGGAACAGTGCTGATTGTCCGTCTGTCTAGTTATTATCTCTATACTCCTCATCTACTGCTGTATGGGGATGATACCTCAGTGAAAGGGAGTATGGTGCAACACAGGTGTAAACAGTGACCAGTCAACTAACAGAAACACCCACGTGTATTTGGTTATATTCTCACCTTTGTTTACATTATCTTCACCACAGCTAAATCGACTTTATTATTGATCGTCACCAAACACCTCAAACTGTTGTTACTTATCGAAAGTCATAGTGATAGATAGATAGATAGACTTATGTTCCCTCTAGCTATTCTAATGTAATGAGGTGAGCTGTCGGGTACATAATGCAGAGGTGAGCTGTCGGGTACATAATGCAGAGGTGAGCTGTCGGGTACATAATGCAGAGGAGAGCTGTCGGGTACATAATGCAGAGGTGAGCTGTCGGGTACATAATGAAGCATCCGTCAGTCCGAGTTACCATCCCTCCTGAGGCCAGTCGGTGTACACAGTAACGTCAACAACTTGCTCTGCATTTCGGATTTTTGCGAGAAATTTTACCTTTGTTTGACATTCTTGGAGGAGTTAGTAATTTTTCTGTATTGTTTTATCTTTGCCAACTAAGGACACTTGTTGTGAATATTATATTGTTTGTTTTATTTGGTCTGGTGTTTATATCTGATATTGATAGGAGAAACGGAAATATATTTGGTGTTTTAATATATTGATATAATATTTATGTATAAACACTCATGACTGTACGAGACATAACTGTATTTGAGTCTTATATTATGTTTAGTGCCATGGAAAGATTTTGTTGTTTACTCAATAGTGTTTTGTGGTGAATAATACAGTACTGTATTGTGTGTTCACTAGTGGGAGAAGACAGTTTAATGTTCAGTACGTTAAGAACACTGAGATAAAATACAGTGTGTAGTTGTAGAGAAAATAACAAAAGATTTACCGAATATCTAATAAAAATAATGACGATTCCCTAAACAAACGACTGAAAACAAAAATTAAAACATGACAATTGTATACAGAGAACATTATTAACAGATACAACACTACTTCAAAGATCTCTGGTAACAGTATGTGGGGTATAAATATAATGAACACGAATAAAATAAAAGTAATGAATGAACACACACATGACATAAACAAATGTGCCCCTCCTTACCCACCCTTTGTCTGGGGCGGATCAAAGGGGAACAGTACCTCAAATAAGGGCGGGAAATATTAGGAAGTGTGATAGACAGGCAGGACAGGTGTAAAAAGATACAGGAAAATACTAAGTTAACAAGTAGAAATATCCTCACAAAGTAAGTTCTTTTGTGTGTATTTCTCATCGTGTCCATCTAAGGCCTTAGGTCTTGACGGTCAATAATACTTTACAACTCTAACATCAACGTCACCTCAGCAACTGATACACTGTGTTATAATTTACCCACATATTGAACTTGTAAACTTGCTACACGGATAAAGAAAGAAAAAAATGGCCACAAAAATATACATTTAAAGAATTTATTTTCAGTAATGATGATAATAATAGTAGTAATTATGATGATAGTACAAATGAAATACCAAACACAGTGAATAAGTATAATAATATTAATGGTACTCACGCAAAAAAGGAAATGAGATAAATGGATAAAAGAAATCCAGTAATATTTATGTAACTTTTCCTCACATGCACCAGCGTGAAGTTTGCATTTAATACTTAGATGTAAAAATATGTGCGTAAAATTGTAAGGACAAATGTATTTGTGTGCGGCGCGGGTCTCATCACCACTAAATGTGCTGCTGTTCCACCCACAAGAATGCCACCTCAGCCATGAACAATTTTCTAAAACACATCTCGCTCGGTAAAGTGAATGTTCATGTTTGTTTGTTTTTCGTGAGGCTCCTGGTGTAATATTTATAAGAGGAATTTAGCTGTGTAAGAGCATATATATATATATATATATATATATATATATATATATATATATATATATATATATATATATATATATATATATATATATATATATATATATGATATGTGTGTGTGTGTAATGTGTGATGGTTAGCCAGTGCAGTTGGCGAGCTGTCCGGTCTTCTCGGATTATTCCTTGACACTGGGTCACTCAATTCGTTACTTAGGGTGTGGTTGTTGTGTTGGCGACAGCGTCTACACTTTAATGAAATTCACGCCTAGATGGTCCAAGGGCCGGCCATCCTCGTTACACGAAGGGCAACCATCATTATAATTATAGTGTAATGGTTTTCCAATGTTTCAATATTTAACTAATAATTTGTTTAATATCTAACATATCCCAAGCTGGCAGCAAGAATAAATATCTATTAAAGGTTGTCTCAGTAAATTTTGACGCCATTTTGGGCAGACACATACGAGTATGTCGCTACCCGTGTGAGTCAGATGCATTTCGGTGTCGCTAATTATTATTTAGAGCAAAATTTAACTTACAACCCTTTATTATTATTATTATTATTATTATTATTATTATTATTATTATTATTATTATTATTATTATTATTATTATTATTATTATTATTATTATTATTATTATTATTTCTACCTCTAGTTTCAAATCAATGGTAGGATTAGATCCCCACTGGCTAGAGATACTAGAACTCGTCAAGACAGTTGTACTGTATATACAGTACAGTAGTCCTACTAAATAATGTGACAGCAGGCGAGGCGTTGTGGTGTATTGTACGATATACATTATAGACGAACTAGATGTTGGCAATAGCTAATCCTGTTACTGGTGGCATAACCCTCGCTTAAAAAGTATTTATGATATGTATGTTATTGAGTACCTGTGTATGACTCTTACCTGCCTATCTGTGTACTGTACTTGTGTGACGCTTACCTGTGTACATGTGTGTGAGTTACCAATGAACTTGTGTACGTGAGAAACATATCTGGGAATTATCCTCATGGTTAGTTAAGTTTGATTACGTCCAGATATAATTCACTCTAGTGTGACTTATTGTAATGTACATATTATTATTAGATGTGTGTGTGTGTGTGTGTGTGTGTGTGTGTGTGTGTGTGTGTGTGTGTGTGTGTGTGTGTGGACCGTGATATACTTGCAACAGCTGTGCGGCGAGCAACGTCTCACACCAAGCACTGCAAAACCAACACAATAATAAACAGCCAAGGGATGATAATTATATTTCTTGGGCGAATATATTAAGAATTCTGTCAGCATCCAGTAGGGAATTTCCCCGGAGTGAGAAAGATGCTCTGTTGACGTGAAGGTGATGTTGTGAACCTGTTGTTGTTGACAGTGATGTTGTGAACCGAGTGATTTTGTGGACCTGTTGTGAAATCTATTGCGGGGTTGACAGTTCTTGACTGATCACGTTCCAACAAGTCACAGCTTCAAGAAATACATTTTTTTCGACTTTTTTTTCTGCATTTTTTGGACAAAGGAAGGGGCGACGACCGTAACTGACTGGTAGAGGCATCAAGAGGCCGCTGTTGATTGGTCACTGGTGACATCGACCGTAGCCAATTAAGAAGTCGCTTGAACAAATTTAATTGTTAGATTTTTCGTATCCAAAGGTGTCTTTATATATACACTGTATATACTGTATATATATATATATATATATATATATATATATATATATATATATATATATATATATATACTCATAATTTTACATCGAAATACATAGTTTGAGAGTAAAAGATGTTTCACAAATGTTGATAAGTAGTTCTTGGCGCAGTTCATGGAGAATCATGAACGGTGGAGTCGCTTAGTGCGTGGTGGTGGTGGTGGTGATGGTGGTAACATAAGCGATTCATCTTAATAAGCGCAGTGTTGTGAGTCAATATTCACTGTATGTGTGTTGTAGGGAGGTTGGGGATATGATTATGTTTATTAGGATATTATTACTTGTTTTAACATTTCTTTTTCAATTTTTAAACTCGTCCTGCGACATTTTCCCGTTTTGTTTATATATATTTTTGTATTCAAGTTGTTGCACCTGTAACTGTACTCGAACAGTTTTACTTGGCTCGTTAAGTATGTACTGCTTGTGTGCCTTACTTACTGTTTCTCCAGGTGAGTCACCCCGACCGCCGAGAGACCCAAAGTGTTATGGAACGGATATTATTTAAACGATTTTTATACCAAATTCTTCCTCAAATTTTTTCTCGCAATTTAATATATTTTATGGGAGTTTTTAACACCAGCATTAAAGGACTATGACTGGACTTAAGCTCTAACACTGAGTCTTAAAAGATTATACGTTAATTTCCCCTGACCGGAGACGTGTGGACTAACTCACTGTGATGATGCTCAGTGTCAAGAAGTCTGGGTAAATACACATGTTAAGTGTAGTATCTGGGGGACATGGTGACTAAGGGTGTTTACAGTACAGTAATGTCGTCGAAATAACATTGAGAGCTGTCCGTTACTTAAAGCTCTCTCGTATGGCCAAATAATGGTCCAGGGAGGTGCAGCAGGTGAAAGGGTAAAGCGCTTGGCTTCTGTCCTAAGGGTCGTTGGTAAATGGGTAGCCTACCAAACGTTACAAAGTGAAGGGTGTCGAGTGTAGTGCTGGCCACGCTACTTCCTTGTTTACCGAAAGCTCAGTGTATGCTGTGGTGTATTTACTCTGTTCTTAACGCGCCTTCATGCTTATGAGACCCACTTCCACTTGACCCTCTTCGTACCGGGAGAAACAGTGTTCGTGGTCTAGAAGCATCACCGCCAGTGGATTGACTGAACACCGTCAATCAAAAATTAAAAATATTTGTTAATTTTTTAAATTAATATTTTCCTTGATTTACTTCTTCCTTGATGATTTGTTTATCACAATAAATAAACTGTCTTGTTTATTGTTCATGTACGTCTCGTCAGCCCAGTGCACGCCTTTCCTACCCGTCCGGTAATGTGTCCGCGCGTGAGGGGTTTATCTTGCTGCCGGGCTTAACATACACCAGTTGTTGATCACCCTTGTAGTTTCAGTGAACTATAACCTTGGATCCCGCTAATTGCTTTCCTGCTAACTATTTCTTCAATAAACGATTTTACTATTAAAGACTTTCTCCAACTAACAATATCTACAGTTAATATTTTCCTAAGTCAACTTGTTCTACATTGAACACTATCCTGTGGATCTTTTCTTTAGTGAACACTTTTCCAAAAAACACTTTCTTCACCGAAAACATAAGCCAGCGAACACACTTTCCGTAGTAAATACTTTCTCAAGTGACCCTTACCGAGCTAACCACAGTTTATCAGCGATCATTTAACCCTAATCATTTCCCCCTTTGTTGGATGTTGTCCTCGTAACAAGTCTATTACCCACTCCTTAACAACTCTATTTTTCTCCCTTTAAGAAGCTGGCCTTAAATATACTGTCTCTCTTTAATAGGCTTCTCTCTCTCCCCCCTTAGCAAGCCTACCTATACCTTCCCTATACAAGATTGCCTCTCTCTCCTTCAAAAGATTGTCGTCTTAACAAGCCGAGTCGACGTTTTCCCGATAACCTGCAGACGGTAAGCTCGGATCAAACAAGAATTATAACGATAATGAGCCTTCCTATTCGGCCACCCACACACACACACACACACACACACGAAGGAAAAAAGAGAAAATGGAAATAGTAGGAAACAGAGAGAGAGAGAGAGAGAGAGAGAGAGAGAGAGAGAGAGAGAGAGAGAGAGAGAGAGAGAGAGAGAGACTGTTTACCCGTTCGTTTGTTCGTCAACACTTCTTGTTTCCGCTGATTATCTCCCCAACCGATGGTTCAATTGTCCTCATACTGTAATAATGAACTCAACCCTCATTAACATACAGTCACGGCTGACCGAGTTTTGACTAAAGTAGAGGATTTAACAATAATCCACATAATTGTTGAGATATAAAGGTAAATAGATGGATAAACAAACAGTGATGAAAAAATATGTAGATGGATAAATTGATAGATGGATACATGCATACATACACACATACATATATACATACATACATACATAAATACATACATACATACATAGGTAGATTGATAGATAGCTTGATGGGCTGATAGAAAAAATTATTGATAGAAAAGTGTAGATGCATAGAGAGTGAGAGAATATGAAACATGCATAAATCTACGGACCTAGCTTGCCACATTTCACTATACGCGTGCCCATAAATCTACGGACCTAGCTTGCCGCATTTCACTATACAGACCTTTCCATTATACAGTACGTAGTGTCATAAGTGCCTGGCGTAAGTGATGTTTGTTGTAAGTGTTTGTCATAAGTGCCTGTAGTAAGTAGTGTTTGTAGTAAGTGTCTGTCATAAGTGCCTGTCATAAATAGTGTCTGTCATAAGTGTCTGTCATAAGTGTCATAATTAGTGTTTGTAGTATATCATAAATATCATAAGTGCGTGTCATAAGTAGCATTTGTAGTAGCTGTAGTATTTGTAGTAATAACCTGATAAAGTAATCATAGTATCGTTTATAGTGAGAACCGCACAATAAAGTTTTTTTATTAACTCTGACAAAGATAAATTCTCAACCCATCGTATTGTAAGACGTAGTCGTGTTCATCGTCTGTCTCTCCTACCACAAGATGGCTTCAGTGTTGGCAGATGGCTGGTGAACGTTAATGGTGCTGTTGGTGAACGTTAATGGTGCTGTTGGTGAACGTTAATGGTGCTGCTGGTGAACGTTAATGGTGCTGTTGGTGAACGTTAATGGTGCTGTTGGTGAACGTTAATGGTGCTGTTGGTGAACGTTAATGGTGCTGCTGGTGAACGTTAATGGTGCTGCTGGTGAACGTTAATGGTGCTGTTGGTGAACGTTAATGGTGCTGTTGGTGAACGTTAATGGTGCTGTTGGTGAACGTTAATGGTGCTGTTGGTGAACTTTAATGGTGCTGTTGGTGAACGTTAATGGTGCTGTTGGTGAACGTTAATGGTGCTGTTGGTGAACGTTAATGGTGCTGTTGGTGAACGTTAATGGTGCTGCTGGTGAACTTTAATGGTGCTGTTGGTGAACGTTAATGGTGCTTTTGGTGAACGTTAATGGTGCTGTTGGTGAACGTTAATGGTGCTGCTGGTGAACGTTAATGGTGCTGCTGTTGAACGTTAATGGTGCTGCTGTTGAACGTTAATGGTGTTGCTGGTGAAGTTATTTACTGTCGTTATGGAACATCATTTATTATTATCGAACATTTCTCGAGCTTTGGTAAGGGAGCTGAATTAACTTTTGTACCGTGTTTCTGATCAGGCTCTATACCACAATATTCAGCTCCTGTAATATAATATAAGAATGTATCATGAAATCAAGCAAGGGGTTTAAATGACGTGCTTCTGATGTTAGGGTCAATTGAGAATCTCATTCATGAATATAGTTATTATGTTTATGAATCAAACGCTCATTTGACCCTTAAACTAAAGCATTCCATTTATGCTCTTCGCTGCATTTCATAATACAAAGCCTGGATTACGATACAGAATCTAAATTATGGTACAGATCTTGATAATTATCTCTCGGAACGCTTGTTGGGGAATTATTCGTGAACCATACGCTCATTTGACACATTTTGAAGCCTGCCATGTAGACCTCCAGTTGATTTCATGGTTCAAAACCTCACTTAACTCTTGAAATATATATTGGAGAATTACGAGAACTGCAGACGGTGATTTGACTGTGAGATTAGAGAAGGGGCTCAATTAACTCTTGAAATACATTTTGGAGAATTATTGGCACTGATTTGACTATGAGACAAGTGGAGCGGTCATCACCTGCTTGTGTTAATGGTTGTAAATCATTAATGACGTTGATCTAGAAGCAGGCACTGAGTGAGTCGTGTCCAGCCTTGACTGTGTCGGGGATATAATGATTCTTTAGTCGTGTGTTTGTCTGTTGTTACCATTCTGATGCCTCTATCTCTTATCTTTATCTCTACCTCTGCTTATATCTTTACTCCTACCTATATCTACCTCTACCTATATCTACCTCTACCTATATCTACCTCTACCTATATCTATCTCTACCTATATCTACTTCTGACTCTACCTATACCTCTGTCTCTACCTCTACCTCTACCTCTACCTCTGCCTACAGTGTTGTATCTGAATTGAGGGAATGAATTGCTTGTGTAGCGATAGGAGGACCTCGAGCAACTTGCAGGTGTTGGGAGGGTCTTTGAGGGGCTGGTAGGGTCTTTGAGGGGCTGGTAGGATCTTTGAGGGGCTGGTAGGGTCTTTGAGGGGCTGGTAGGGTCTTTTGGAGGGCTGATAGGTTCTTGGAGGGGCTGGTAGATCTTTGGAGGGGCTGGTAGGGTCTTTGGAGGGCTGGTGGGTCTTTGAGGGGCCGAGTAGGGTCTTTGGAGGGGCTGGTAGGTCTTTGAGGGGTTGGCAGGGTCTTTTGAGGGCTGGCAGGGTTTTGAGGGGTTGTAGGCCTTTTGAGGGGCTGGTAGGGTTCGAGGGCTGATAGGTCTTTTGGAGGCTGGTAGGGTATTTTCCTGGGGCTGGTAGGGTCTTTGGAGGGGCTGGTAGGCCTTGAGGTTGGTAGGGCATTTCCAGAGGCTGGCAGGATCTCTTTTTGAGGGGCTGGCAGGGTCTTTGAGGGGCTGGTAGGGCTCCTTGAGGCTGCAGGGTCTTGGAGGGGGCTGGGTAGGGCCTTTGAGGCCAGGGCCTTTGAGGGGCTGGTAGGGCCCTTGAGGCTGGTGCAGGGCTTTGAGGGGCCAGAAAATCTTTGAGGGGCTGGTGGGTCTTTGGAGGGGCTGGTAGGGCATTTCGGGGCCAGGGTCTTTGAGGGGCTGGTAGGGTCTTTGAGGGTAGGGTGGCCTGGGCTGGTGGTCTTGAGGGCTGGTAGGGCTTTGAGGGGCCGGTAGGGTCTTTGAGGGGCTGGTAGGGTATTTCAGAGGCTGGTAGGGTGTCTAACGGGCAGGGAAGCAGTGAACGAAAAGGCGAAGTAAAACTGGATATGATGACAAAGGTTGTCATAAACACCTTAATTACTTATCTCCTCCGCCACGAGTAGGACGAACGGATCTCCGCTCTCTGACCTTCGTCTTTCTAACTCCATTTGTTCATATCATATTGTTTCAAATATCATCAGAGTTTAGCAAGGGAATTCTTTATTGAATAGATACGACAGCGACAATTGTTTGAGCTCTCCCTGTGTTTTATGTGTCAGGAAAATGTGAGTGTGTGTGTGTGTGTGTGTGTGTAGATCAGAAAGATGAAAGTAATAAGGATGGGTGCTGTGAGGCTCTGAGGCCCCCTGCTGGTCTTCCCGCGTATAACGCCTCCAGCAAATGCTTTGACGTTATTTTGGTAACAGGAAACCCAGTTACTGTCCTCTTCCCCACCGAGGCGTGCCTGTGTGCGTGTGGCCATCTTGTGAACGCTATACGTCGAACAATTTGAAACGAATGTCTATGAAACTTAAGGCATGAATATAACCCACCAATAAACAGTATTTCCTCGGTGTATTACAAGTTACATTACGGTGAGTCTTGTGTCCTGTTACGGGTGTTTGTCCTACACTACACTACACTACACTACACTACACTACACTACACTACAATACACTACACTACAATACACTACACTACACTACACTACACTACACTACACTACACTACACTACACTACACTACACTACACTACACTACAATACACTACACTACACTACACTACACTACACTACACTACACTACACTACACTACACTACACTACACTAGGTGACCTTGGGTGTGGTGACAGGCTCTTATGGTTAACTTGATCCTACCACAGTGTCCATCTCGAACCTTATTTTGTAGATTGCTTATAACGCTCGTCTCTTTAAATAGATATCCCTATTTTCTTCCTCAGCTGTTTCTTAAGATTCATTGGTGATGCTCAGGGCCTTCTGGGGAGGTACTGTGTTAAGTAGTTATCAGGAGGTACTGTGTTAGGTAGTTATCAGGAGGTACTGTGTTAGGTAGTTATCAGAAGGTACTGTGTTAGGTAGTTATCAGAAGGTACTGTGTTAGGTAGTTATCAGAAGGTACTGTACGAATAATAAAAGTTGGTCTCAAAGAACAGCTTTACGGTGTTATATAGAATGTCCCAGAAAAATGTCCCTCCCTCCCTCCCTCCCTGCCTGCTCCCTGAGACACTGTCAGTTGGAGGGAGGGAGGCAGGGACATTTTTCTTGTCACCCTATAATTGTAACAAAGCACGCCGGACCAATTAAGTATTCGGAACAGCTTGGGTTTTATATGTATTCCTGTTAATTTATCTGTATTAACTGTACGTGATATACAGGATACATCGAATTGGTTACACAGTGCATCACACAATCAGGAGATAGCATGGCTAGCATTCTACCCAGCTGCCTTCACTTCCATGAATGTAAAGTACTCGATCACAGCTTGGCGAAACGGGGTCACCTTGGGCACGAACAAGCGACCATTAAAATCAACAGTAAGGATGTCTTCTTGATTTTTATCAGCTGCCGTCCCCAGGAGATAAACTTAAAGATATCTGCTTTCCTCCCTTGTGTGTGCCCATAAGTTTGTGCATTCGTCCAAGGTAGTGAACAAGCTTTGTGATGGATTGTAACGAAAAAAATTTCGTAGTTACTGAACATTTCAACAAAATCTCATACGGGTTCGTCAGTTTACATTATATCATTATTGTCCAGTTTTGGACCCTTTGACTTTGTTGTGGCGCGGCGGGGGACCTGTCAGCCTTGTTCATTATATTACGAGAGAAAAATCGTGTTTCAAAATTCGAGTTTTTCTAATATTTGTGATGATTAATATACAGTGTTTACAGAGTCCCTTGAGAAAGTTACACATCTAAAACGTCGGTATTCATTCCAACGTTATCTGCACATAGCTATATCCTTCATCATATCCATTGGGAGTGTAAGAAAACTGTCACAACAGATAATGGTGAAAAATACAGTTATGCTGAAAATGAATGAGTACATACCTGCGTCACGGTACTCTGTAAACACTCTGAAGGATTTATTTTGTTTGGGTAGTACAGAGTTGGTGATCAAAAGACACAATAAAATATAGGGATGGATGTTTGATGTCATCACACAGAGTCGGAGTCACCCACACAACGTTCACTTTGTCTAAGATGAAAATTTCTGGGTGCCGAATCTACAAATGTGGTTTGAAGAATACGTGTAATTGGCTAATTTCCAATGACACAAAGGTGGCGGTTCTGAATTACGTCAAATTCACGCCGAGTCTCTCCAGTAACCGTCACTATAACTCATATATAGGCCAAGGAACATCGCTAAAAATTATACAGCTCATCAGTTAGGCCTACTTTTGACGAATACAGATAGTACATTAAATAAGAATGGCTTTCAGGTGGCCTCTTTAAATCTAGTCATGTCTGTTATCGAATTTATCTGATATCTTAGTGACCAAGCTTCAAGAAAATCTGTAAATCACTGAAGGAATCATCGCGTTTAATGGAGTATAAACCACGACGGACACGACGATGTGCTCGATTCCATAAATCCTGCGAATTATTTCAGGATATAACTACAACTTGAAGACGACACGAGAATCATAATGAACATCACCTCTACTGAAGACTAAACCTGTACACTAAACGATAACCAGATCCTCCACTGGGCGACATTACCTTCTCTTCTGGAATTCTGAGGACGGAACAGAGGTGCAACAGCGAGGCAACACTAGACACTGTCAACTTTTTACAGGAGAAGAGTATGAAGAACCAATACTGCTTTATTATCTAACTATCGGAGACCATAACAAGGTAAACATAATTAAAGCCAAGAAAATGACTGTATGCCGGATGATAAGAACTTCTAAGATTAACAGACCAATGGTTCTATTGTTCAGAGCATTCATACACTGCCGACCTGAGTATTGTACTCACATCACAGTTTAAAGTCAGCGTAAAATCCTAAATAAACATTGTATAAAGTGGTCTACATTTATTGGTCTCACTGAATTATGAAAACATTTCAACTGTATAGACGACATACAGCAGTGGGACTGTCCTCCCTGGCATATACACGCGCGAGGTGTAACATAGTTCACACATTGAAAATACTTCAATGTGTGGCACAGGATTTACACTCAAATAGGAAGACTTGCTGGAGTGGGAGACACAGCAGAAGGGTGCAAGATTAATGCATTAAGATACAGGGATGTCATAACTACACTGTAAGAACAGATTGTTGACATCTCAGGACCAATACTCTCCAACGTAACAAATGTTAGACACAACTTTACGACACCGAGAGTTGAGTGCAAGACAGGAGGAAGCTTGATATGATTATAAAAACTATTTCAGATAAACCAGACTACGGTAATTATGTGAGTGTGCGTTCTATAAGCAGTAAGAGACTAGCAAACCAAATGGTTTCCCGCCAAATCTAGTAGCACACCTCGACCTGCAGGGTAAACGGCGTCTCCCGAAGTCAATTCAGGGCTATAAGAGCTTTGATAACACGAATAAGGCATAGTATAACTATACAGTAAGGAGAGATAATAATAGTAATAAAAGGTACAACTGACCTGTGGGGTTGCAGGTGTTGTTGGTCGTGTGGCGCGAGTGTGTGTGTGTACTACACCAGCAGCTGACGGAGTGAGACCTTCCACCACCGACTCCCTCTTTATATACCTCAACCCGCCACCCACCTACCTTCACCATCACCACCCACCTATCCGCCTCCACTTACCCTCGCTACCTGTTGACTGCTACCTCACCCCTCCCACTCATGCCCCCAACCCGCACCGCCCCGATCACTCGAGGCCCCGTCCCACCAAGATCGCTGACGGTACTTTCCCGCCCACTTGATCTCGCCTAACCACTGATACTGCAGGATGCAGTTTCGTTGCCTGGGCCAAAATAGGGTATCCATTAGTGCAGTACGTAATTAGGAGACAAACTTAAAATGTTTTCAGCGTGGCTTAGGGATCATTTAAGACTTATTGGCACGTTAGTATTATGAGTTACAGCATAATGACTGGCATATTTATCAGGTTAGGCTGACCGAATGAAATATATTTTGGCCGCCATGTTATATTTGTTCACCACAGTATCTCTACATTGTTGCCAGACAGAAGCGTACATCCGGTGGTTATGTCTAGCTTTTGATAGTTAAATAATTTTGTTCGACTAATAACTTTGCCAGCTGCAGGGAGGCTTCGATAATTTGCCCCAAATTATCATGTTCCTGCTTAGAGTGGGAACTGTATTTAATACATAGTAATACATAATGATAATACACCTATAGTATAAAGCACCATTAGTATATTTCCCTTGATGGACAAACGCACTACACAATGATTCTTGTATACACCACTGAATGACGAGACTTTGCTAAGATAGGCGAGATCTGTCACTGAGTGTAGGTAGCTGGCGTGCTTAAAATAATATAGTTTGTTTGGTAGCGTGTTGCACTGTGTTACACTTGTGTTACAATTCACCTTCGTGTCTTTTCATGGCCCCTGTAATACGCCAAGCTCCTAGCAACATTACCTTTTAATGAATAGTACTACTTTTATCCCCGTATGTCTCTATACCAGTTACCTGTAGTCTGCCACGACACGAATGGTCTAGGGTCTGTGTAAATATAAGCCTCTTCTGTTTATTCACTACGGAGCAAATCTCCAGTCGTGGATTTTTTATTGCCAAGATCTCGGTGTGTGTACATGTATGGTACGACACTTAACCTGCTGCCAAGCTCCCAAAAGCTGTCAGATTCGAGCGTGCTGGTGAAACTGATTAGGTTGTGAGGAGTCTTGGTGTCACGGAGACGTTCTCATTTTCTGTTAAATACCAGCCACACTCCTCTGTCGTAGGTAAAAATGGACACACTGTACGTCGAGGGAGCGACTCCAGATAAGAGTTTGGTAGCGAGTTTTCCTAATTTGCTTATATGCTTCTCTTCGGTGGGTTGGTGTGAGTCAGAGTCTCTTTAGTTTCATATTCTTACGTTACTGTATATTCGTGAATTGAGGTCATAGATTTGTCAGGTGAACAATAACTCAATTCTTCTCATTCCCTTTCACAATGCCCTCTGCTTTGTTCCCTCCAAACACGTTACTCTTTATCCAGACGTCACCCACACCCTAAGGTTCCATGTGCTGTCCAATCACCCGACAGAAATTAATTCGTCAATGGAGTTTTGTCAACATGATCACAGAATCTTTCCAACCGTCTTATTTTATTCCACTGCAACTCTTTCTCCTCGTAATACAACTGTTCTTCGTATGTTATAACATTTATCTTTTCCCAGGCTGCTTCATCATTATTTCAGCTCCCTTCATCAGTGTCCAGATGAAGGCAGAGTCATGAGCTAGAGTACTGATGAAGATGGAAAGAGGTCCGTCTGCAGTTTCGGGGAATCATTCTTTAACTCTTTTTGGTTGAATCCACTACAGCCTAGAACCTTTCGTTCGTGGTGTCTCCCACGACCCTCCAGCCCCGCCCCTCTCCCTTAGCTACGCCCCATGCCTCTAACCTCGCTCCATGCCTCTAGCCTCGCCCCATGCATCTAGCCCCATCCTGTGCCTCCAGCCTCGCCCCATGCACCTAGCCCCACCCTGTGCCTTTAGCCCCGCCTTATGCCTCTAACCCAGCCCTATGCCTCTAGCCCCGCCCCACGCCCTAACATCTCTCCATGCCCCGCGTGAGGACACCACCAGTATCACACAGGGTCCCGGGACGGGTCGGGGCTGCAGTTTTTCTTCATGAGCAGAATATAAATCAGATTAACACCTCACCCAAGGGAGACGCCACCCTCTCCTGCCCTAATTATTTTTTTATCCTCTATTTTTTTTATTTAGTATCTGATCCTCTTTACCTTATCAAGATTTAACCAAGATAACACATTTGTTGTGGCGGTAACCCACCAAGGTGTAACCCTGTATGGCGTGTTTTAGTGGAATAATGAGGTATATATCAGGCCATCGTGGGCGGACATTGTTTAATATACCACGCGTGTGTGTGTGTGTGTGTGTGTGTGTGTGTGTGTGTGTGTGTGGGTTAGGTCACGGTAGCATAAGATTCACCAGGACACAGTCGGTGAGACGCCATATTGTGTTATTAGTTTCTAGTAGATTATTAATATTGTGTTGTTTATTGTACCGCAGAGTATATGAATTTTCTCTCTCTCTCATATATATATGTGTGTTTGTGTGTCTGTCTTTGAAGATTATTTGGGAGAATTTTGCTAGGAAAAATGAAAAGCTCTTGTTTCTATATCCTTGCAATTTTTATATATTGTGCTATTCGCTTGGGCGTTGAGAATTTCCTTGTGATATATATATATATATATATATATATATATATATATATATATATATATATATATATATATATATATATATATATATATATATATATATATATATATATATATATATAAATATAAAGCATCAACTTAATACATTTGCAGATTTACTGATGTTCTCACTCTATGGGCCCTAATTGTGATCAGCTTTTCTTATGTTCTAGGTAGTGAACCCAAACACATCCAGGTGACAACTTCCTCCCAGCAAAACCTGAAAATTAACCAATAAGTTTGTGGTCTCGAAAAAGTCTCAAGCAAAACTTAGAGACCAAGGATGTCCGAGACCGAGACTAATCTTAAAACTTACATCTCTGATATATATACATATAATATAATATAATATAATATAATATAATATAATATAATATAATATAATATAATATAATATAATATAATATAATATAATATAATATAATATAAAAATAACGGTTACCCCCTGTGTTCCAGGAGATACCTGTATATTAGGAGATACCTGTATATTAGGAGATACCTGTATATTAGGAGATACCTGTATATTAGGAGATACCTTTTTATTAGGAGATACCTGTATATTAGGAGATACCTGTATATTAGGAGATACCTGTATATTAGGAGATACCTGTATATTAGGAGATACCTGTATATTAGGAGATACCTGTATATTAGGAGATACCTGTATATTAGTAGATACCTGTATATTAGGAGATACCTGTATATTAGAGATAGTAGGAGATACCTGTATATTAGGAGATACCTGTATATTAGGAGATACCTGTATATTAGGAGATACCTGTATATTAGGAGATACCTGTATATTAGGAGATACCTGTATATTAGGAGATACCTGTATATTAGTAGATACCTGTATATTAGGAGATACCTGTATATTAGGAGATACCTGTATATTAGGAGATACCTGTATATTAGATACCTGAGATACCTGTATATTAGGAGATACCTGTATATTAGGAGATACCTGTATATTAGGAGATACCTGTATATTAGGAGATACCTGTATATTATAGATACCTGTATATTAGGAGATACCTGTATATTAGGAGATACCTGTATATTAGGAGATATCTGTATATTAGTAGATACCTGTATATTAGTAGATACCTGTATATTAGGAGATACCTGTATATTAGGAGATATCTGTATATTAGTAGATACCTGTATATTAGTAGATACCTGTTTATTAGGAGATACCTGTATATTAGGAGATACCTGTATATTAAGAGATATCTGTATATTAGTAGATACCTGTATATTAGTAGATACCTGTATATTAGGAGATACCTGTATATTAGGAGATACCTGTATATTAGTATAGATACCTGTATATTAGGAGATACCTGTATATTAGTAGATACCTGTATATTAGTATAGATACCATTATAGATTGTCTTTGTTCGATTCCTGCTACATTGTAAACTACCTTACTTTATTCATGTGAAGGAAGCACATGGTCTGTCATCTCGTGATTTTGACACACCTCGGTGGGAGGTAGACCAACACAGACACTTGCAGATCAATACGACCCACTCCATCGGTGGCAGTGCAATTTATACATATTGAATTTGATATAGGATATGTTAATACGAGTCAGTGTTATTTATACCTTCGTAACTTTGTCACAACCACACACACCACCATCACCACAGTCACTACCATCACCACAGTCACTACCATCACCACAGTCACTACCACACACCACCATCACCACAGTCACTACCATCACCACAGTCACCACCTTCACCACAGTCACTACCATCACCACAGTCACTACCATCACCACAGTCACTACCATCACAACAGTCACTACCACACACTACCATCACCACAGTCACTACCACACACCACCATCACCACAGTCACTACCACACACCACCATCACCACAGTCACTACCACACACCACAGTCACTACCATCACCACAATCACTACCACACACCACCATCACAGTCACCACCATCACCACAGTCACCACCATCACAGTCACTACCATCACCACAGTCACTACCACACACACCACCATCACCACAGTCACCACCATCACCACAGTCACCACCACACACACCACCATCACCACAGTCACCACCATCACCACAGTCACTACCATCACCATCACAGTCACTACCACACACCACCATCACCACAGTCACTACCATCACCACAGTCACCACCATCACCACAGTCACTACCATCACCACAGTCACTACCACACACCACCATCACCACAGTCACTACCATCACCACAGTCACCACCATCACCACAGCCACCACCATCACCACAGTCACTCACCCCA